TTTCCAGCATGACGGTTGGCCCAGATAAATTACCGCCTTGTGAGGCATATCAAACTAATGGTGGACACCTTTGGAAGAGGTGATAACAGCATCAGGAACATCTTTGAAGATCTTTTCTCCTTCGGAAATTCATCGTGTTTTACAGTTACCTTGCTAGACAAGATGAGCTGGGTGTAAGTTTGTTTTCTACTTGTATGATTCCATTTGCTCAGTCACATTATCACCGCCAACATGTTCATCATCATTATCATCATCGGCATCGTCATCTTAACCATCATCAACGCAATCATCTAATTATAATCATCATTTTTTAATCACAATCACTAACTTGGTTTCCGTTTTCTTAAACTGTCCTCTCTTCCCAACCATGTGCTTTTTTTCTAAAAGCTAACAGGTCATCGATTGGGCTGTATGTAACGAACTATTCATTGTTATGCAAATCCCCCCTCCCCCTTTAATGCTCCACTCTCAGATAATATACATATGTTTAAAAAATTGTAACTCACCCACAGAGCATGCTGAGAAAGGTGGAGACAAGCATGCTCCGTATAGAGTGGCAAGCATCACTTAAAAGGTCCCAGGTAGTTAGCATCCTTTGGATATTTTCTCCAGGTCACGCCAGTGTGTTGGGAAATGAGCAGGAAGAAAGATAGGCCGGTTCTGCACCACTTGGTGGTAAACTGATGTATGACAAGCTGGATGTTGTGAGAGCCCTTTGGGAGCTAGCGAACAGTGCCGAGGCACATATAGATCATTACGGTCTGAGGAGAATTGCACTGCGAGGAGTTACAGGGATCTAGCCGACGCTCGACACTGAGGGAAAAGGCAAGACGGATTTACAATCAGACACTTACTGGTACCATTGGAATGGGAACTCTTCCCTTGCTGCTAAAGATGGGGACGGAGCGCTTATTGGGGGGGGGGGGGGGGTGTTCCGAGTGCTGTGATGTCGATTCTTAATTCAACATTCAACATTCTGTTTAAATATACCTCTCTTCTATTGATCTTTCCTGTTATCACAATAATCTCTATAACCTTTTTTCACCTTCTAAATTTGTTTTCCTACATATAGTGTAAGTTTGTTTATTAGTGGACAGACTATTCTTTTCTTTTTTTTATTGCTTATCAAACCAGGTAGTATAACAGTGCTCAGATCCCCTCCTCAGCAAATCGCTAAGCGTAAAGCGGCTAACCGCATCAGATACCACGACATCCAGCTTAAGAATGGAGGTGGAGGAGTTCACTGCCACTTTCCGCTGGTTAGAGATCATCACACGCACACACACGTTGTGATTGTAACTGACTCGGACAGCATGCTGAGGAAGGTGAGGACAGCATGCTTCGTGCAGAGTGGCGTGCTTTGCTTCGGAGGTAACGGGTGAGGTGCATTGTCTGGCTGGCTCTGTACAACTTGGTAGAATACTGATGTATGATAAGGCAAACGTTGTTAAGGCCTTGCGAGAGAACATGTACAATTCGTAGGAGCAAATTGATCACCACAGTCTGGTGAAAGTGATGCATTAGGCAGGTATGAGGGAATCTGACAGATACTCGACGCTCAGAGAAAAAGCCAGTGACATATAATAAGAATGCTACTGGCACCATTTGAACTGGAAATCTGCACTGGCTGCTGAAGACAGGGACAGAGCGTTCATGGAAATGCCCCAAGTGCTGTGATGTACGTTCTTGAATCAATTTAACATATCAGCACAACATAGCAACACCAGTTGTAAGTTGTTTTATTATTATTTTTTTTTTCCATTCCTGCGTAGTGCTTTTGTACGGACTCATCTCTTTTTTACTTGGTATTCTTGCAGTCTAGTCATGGTTGTACATTTTTAGTCATCATCTAATTTTTGTAAATAGTTTGTTTGCATATTATTCAGCATATCAGCATGGACTAATGCTCATAGCAGCCTTACCTGCAAGCATGTCAGCTTGTTCATATCCTTTTCCAGCCGAATACCCTAGCACGATAACGTACCTGATCTTTTCTAATTGCCCATCTAAGACTCTAGCCACTGTCTTCGGCATTATCTACCTCTATCTTCTTGAGATAAATTTACAAACGGTGCTTTACCTTTATTAGTCTTTGCGTGTTCAAGAACAAAACACAAAAGTATCTTTTGAATTAAATACAACTGATGGGGGGAAGAAAAACAACCGAAAACAATTGCGGGAACATAATCATTGTTAGTTTCCACGGTTGCCATGACATTCGTCTCAGAAACCATGTTCCCATTGCCAGAGATTGTCCTAATAATTGGCTAGTTTAAATCTAAAATATAAATACTTTTAATTGTTAATTTATCAAGCGTTTTCACTTATCATTACTTCTTTCATTTTATTTTATGAGTCGCCATTAATACATAGCGTTTCTCATTTGATTTTAATGGACGACAGAATAAACTCTAAATTAATCTTTTTGAGTATAAATATTATTTTATATAGTTGACGTAACAAATTACTCATCGTTTGGTAAGAAACGAAAGATAACGTAGGTTATGCGGTTCCGTCGTTTGTCTCGCCTGTTGAAGATTATGTGTCTGCCTAGCGCAGCAGAAAAAAAGGTCCTTGTGCTGTATGCTCTCTGGTCTCTACACTCGATCTAAGGAAATGTAGTCCGCCTATCGTTGTTGAACTGTACACTGTTCTCAACGCAATGTAAGTACGTTGGATTTATGAACTGGCTCACAGACTTCGTGTTCATCGGTACGTTCAGTCGATAGATTGTGACAGATCTAAGTTTCCATGTATCTAAGTTTCATCGGAGAAATTGATTCTTCATTAGCTCGAGTGATTAGCACATGGTCTTTGCGAACACGTTGTTGATTATAAATGTACTATTATATGTGAAGCACGCTAGTTCTGAGTCAAGCAAAATAAGGAGATGTTGAATGTGATGATTATATTCCATTGTTTTGATCCAGAATAGAGCTTGTAGTTAGGGTACATGGATTGTCTGGGCGCTGCCTATGTAGCTATATGTTTTAGTTGCTGTTGTGTAATTCACTATTCACATATTCATCGCCGGAGTCATGAAAATATGTCATGGTTCCTGCACAAGAAGAACAATAGTCTTTTCTGTACTTTTCCTGTTTTTGCTGTTTAGAGGGAAACTACTCAACTGTCCTAACCAAATCTCTTTCTCCCCTCTTCCTCCTACATGTTTCGTTTTCCCATTCGCTTCCCGCTAGCTCAATAGCAAAAAGTTCACCCTATAGTTGCTCCGTTCCTTGCCAACAAAAGCCACAAAGAATGTCCGTCTGTGTCACTTGAGGAAAAAACTAACACAAACTGCAGTTCCATTATATCCAATAGCATTCACACGCAATGATTGCATAAGGCAGCCTTCAGAAGTACTAACATAAACATTAAAAGTACAGTTCATCATCAATGAAAGCAGCAGTTAAAACAGATTCGTAGTTGCACAGGCGACACATAACATAAGTCATCCCCGACTTAGTTCCATAACAATAAAACAGCCATAACTGCCATTTACTGCCTTTCTTATATTACTTTTGCGGTGTAAGGGGGGGGGGGGGGGGGGGGGTGGGGGGGTCTTTGAGCTCACAACTCAAATCATGTCGGTCACAGTCGAAAAAACAACCCAAATGAACTCCGCAGCTCACTATGTCACACTATGCACTCAACGCAGTAGCTGGGCAAGGAAACAATATCATTTCAGTCTACAAATGGAAGAAAATGCAAGAGCCAGCTATTATCAGAAGAAGAAAAACCTACCACAACTAGAAACAATAAACTTGACTATCCCGCATATTGACCCGAAATGCTGCTCTCTAGACAAAGCAATAAGGTCTACTGTGTTCGTAAATTGTTGCTGTGATTGTTATTCGACATTTGCTTCGTTAATATAAATTTATGTAACCTATGGTGCCATTTCAATGGGTTGAAATAAATTCTGTCCGTATTCCATAGTCGTGGATTTCAAGCTGCACAATAGACATGGCCAATAAGACACCTTTTTTGTGGGTTGCCTAGTTGACCATGTATCTTAGTGCACTTGTATTCATGGCGAGGCGTAGACGCTGTCTGGAGGTGACAGGTTCAATTCCCGGCACGGTAACTATAGCTTTCGATTTTTATGTTGTCTAGTGTGTTCTTCTATCTTTCTACTTCTTTCTATGAGTGCCATTCACAGTACTTTCTGTTACTTGATTAATTCATAATAATTACCGGCCTCAAATGGTCCCCCCCCCCCCCTCTGTTTATTTATAGGAATGACGTATACACACCGGAACCTACCAATCAAATACATTTCTTAAATGTTTGTGTATTCTAGACAAAGCAATAAGGTCTACTGTGTTCGTAAATTGTTGCTGTGATTGTCATTCGACATTTGCTTCGTTATTATAAATTTCTGTAACCTATGGTGCCATTTCAATGGGTTGAAATGAATTCTGTCCGTATTCCATAGTCGTGGATTTCAAACTGTACGATAGACATGGCAAATAAGACATCTTTTTTTTGGGGGTGCCTAGTTGACCATGTATCTTAGTGCACTTGTATTCATGGCGAGGCGCAGACGCTGTCTGGAGGTGACAGGTTCAATTCCGGGCACGGTAACCATAGCTTTCGATTTTTATGTTGTCTAGTGTGTTCTTCTATCTTTCTACTTCTTTCTATGAGTGCCGTTCACAATACTTTCTGTTACTTGATTATTTCATAAAAAAATACTTCAAACTGAACAAAATAACCAAAGGCAATATTTGCTTGCTGTAAGGTCACATGTATCGTCTATTCCATTATTACAGATAAGACCAGCGCAGGTGAAAGAAGCTGGCCACGTAAATTTCATAGAGCTCCATGTTCCAAACAAGACAGACGCTATAAACTTCCTGGATGGCAAAGGTTCAAAGCCTGCCCGGGAAGCAAGAGTAATTATTGAACGGCCTGACCTCAGTGAACCTGTTGTAGAAGAGCTGGTTGTAGGGCCCCTACCGGATCCTCGATACCATTATCTCAACCCACGAAGAGACAGACCCAAGATTCCCTACAGGTAATTACAAATGTCAGTTGTGTCTCCTTTACATACCTTTGCAAAACCAATCCCAGCATGTTCTGGGTGATTGTGATTTTATTAAATATTCTTTAAGTTCAGTAGTTTGCCATTGTCTTCAAACTGTCGACTCTCAGATGCCACTGTCGAACATGAACGCAGAACAATCGGCTGACAAATTACATGCAGCCTGAATAGAAACCAGTATTTGGTAATTACTAAACGCGTTCGCAACTCCAAATCCACAGACGCCGACCATGGATGCCAGTCAATTGTGTATGTATTCTATCAAACTGTATTTGCTTGCCAACATTTGACAAATCAAAACCTATATATGTTCAGCCTAAAACAACTTGAGTGAGTGATTGGCACCTTTCCGTCTTTCCAGACGATGATGTTATATTTCGCTATAAGAAGGTATGGGACTCACAGCCCATTGCGATGTAAGTGTGACTAGCAAGACCCGCCTCCGTTAAGAAAAGACATTTATAATTATAGCATTGAATTTCATGACCATTGTTGTCAGCATTTGTGTTTAGTCTGTTTCTTCTCGAGGCTCAGCTCTCATCCTTTATGAAATCATGTCTTCCTCCAGTGTTATTCCCTTTCTGATGTGCACCATCCACGTAACACGGTCCATGACATTTGGTTCTAACGAGTCTACCTAAATACCTGTATCATTTATGTCCAGCCTGCACACATCTTTTTATTGTAGTAGAGGTCGGCCTCGACATCTTCTTCTTCTTCAGTTCCCGTGATGCCTAGTGGCACTTGAGGCTTCAGAGAGGACTTTCCATGCTTTCCTGTCCTGTGCAATCTTCAGTGCAGTTTTCCATTTCAAAGATGCAGCACTCATGTCACTTTCCATCGTTCGTCTCCATGTTGTTTTTGGGCGCCCCTTTGTTCTCTTTCCCTCTGATATCAATGCAAGAGCTGTTTTGGTACGTATATCAGGATTCATTCTCATAACGTGGCCAAGCTGTTTCATCTTCTCTTGGTTATCATACTGTCTGGAATTTCTCGATTTGTGTCTTGAAGTAGTTTAGTGTTTGAGATCGTGTCTGGCCAGACAATTTTGATAATTCTACGTAGACATGCGTGGTGAAAGGTGGACAGCGTGTGTGCATCCTTTTAGATCATTCTCCAGCATTCTGTTCGTAAAGAAGAACTGGCAAAGTGATGCTCTTGTAGAGTCGGAGTTTCGTTTCTCTGCAGTAACTGTTGGATTTCCAGATTTGCATCATCCTTTCAAAAGCAGCTCTAGATTTTTTTTGGCGTGGCTGTATGTCTTCCTCTGTTTCTCTAAGTAGTGACACCACACTGCCAAGATATGTCAACTGTTCTACATTTTCAAGTGTTATATTATTTATGGTCAGTGGTTGCTGGTTTGGTCTTTTTGTCATGATCTTAGTTTTCTTTGTATTTATTTTCACTCCCACCATTTCTTCTGTTCTGTGTAATCTGTTACTTTTCTCAAGTACATTACGTTCATGTTTATGTGATAGGAGTGCTATATCATCTGAAAAATCAAGGTCCTCAAGCATGGTGATTGGAGTCCATCGTATGTCTTTCAATGTCTTGTCTACTGTGTTCTTTAGTATCCAGTCAATCACAAGGTTGAAGACGAGAGATGACAACACATCCCTGTCTTACACATGTCTTTACTGGGAAAGATGTATTGTAATTTTTAATCTTGCAGGAAAAGTTTTTATAGAAAAGAGCAATTTTGTTGAATATCTTTTCTGGAATTCTATAATGTTGTAAAATTTTCAAGAGACTGTCTCTATGGACGCTGTCAAAAGCTTTCTTAAAATCCCCAAAATTAATATATATACTTCTCTTCCATTCATTGCATTGTTCTAAAATGTTATGTAGGGCGAAGATGTATTTAGTTGTTCCTCTGCCCTTTCTGAATCCTGCTTGTTCCACTCGTAGGCATTTATCTACTCCCTTTTCAAGCCGCATTATGACGATTTTACAAAATACTTTGCTTTTTACAGAGAGTAGAGTAATTCCCCTCCAATTATTGCAGTCTGTAAAATCTAATTTTTAGGGGATTTTGACTATTGTTCCTTCATTCCAGTCATTGCGAATAAGTTAACAAAGTTTCACCACCGTAGAAAGGAGTGCTGAGAAAATTAACCTAATAGACAACCATTTTTGTTAGTGAGCTTTCTGTTCTCCCAAACCTTTTTTGTTTGTTTGGTAATCGGCTCATTGTTGTTGTTGCTGCCTTATCCTGATGTTTATTTCTTAGTTTAGTTATAGTTTGTTATTCACTGTGGGTCCACAATAATTAACTGTCTCCAGTTCCTCACAATTAATATAAACTGCAGGTCTACCATTAACAATTTGCGCCATAACCTTTGTTTTAGTTTTGATGACTTAGTCCAAATTCACAGCATAAATCAACAAATGCCTGCAGATCGGAAGGTCTTGGGTTTGCGTCTTGACAGAACTGGATTTGTTCCCCTCCAGAAATGACCTTGACTTTCAGGTTGACCCAGCCTTGAGTGGGTACCAGGTGCAGCCCTGGGAAGTAAAGGCGGCTGGCGCGATGCTGACCACATCACCCACCAAGTGCCGATTGGTTTATACAAATATATGTCTAAACCTATATTTCCAACACGCCTAAAGACGTCAAAAACGGATTTTTAATTTTACTTTATTATTATACGTTTATGTTATAAGTATAACAGAAAAACAGAGAACAGTGTGGTCTCGAGGCTTGGCGTCCGCCTCGAGTGCTAGAGGTCACGGGTTACCATTTTTTTCTAGTGGACTTCTAGTAATTTCCCTTTGGTCTCTGGGTAGAAAGATCGGACGCCGGTGTGTATAAAGGGGACCCAGAAATTCTCTTGACAGTTGAAAATCAAAAGAGTAGCCTAACGGCCCTGCCTGGGCAACATTTGGAGTTACAAATCTACCCAAAGTATTTCAGGATCCTCGCCGGTGCTATGGAGTTCATGCACTGTGCTGGGATTATTTGGACTCAGGCTTGAGTCAGAGGTGGAGGAGAGCACTTATGGGTTACTACCCTTGTGCCAAATTGTTGATCAGTCGTCTAAACCTGAACCTAAACCTAGGAAAAAAACTAACCAAATTAATCTCAGTGCCTTATCACTAGGTTTCACCCTTCCTATGGGATCCATGCTGCCTACACAGACCTGTTTCACGAACTAACCCACGAGCTAAACGACATCATCCTGGAAAGCTATGGGACCAGTTTCCTCAACTGTACACAAGATTGCTTGATCCTGTTACCCCAAAGGACAAGTTCAGCGTATTCCGACACGACGCTGATTGTTCTTACAGCCTATTATAGAGCCGAGTTCACCACGATTAATTCTGCTGGTCTTATCTTTGTCATGAAAGAGACCGTTAAAGGTACCAAATATAGAAGCTCTAATATTGTTGTAATGGTTTTAATTTGTGTTATCGTTTCTTTGTTTGTTTTAGTATCCAGAAGCCATGAGTTGTTAACCCCTAGGCTTGATATTATGGATATCGCAACCTTTCGGCCTTTATTCCAATGTAAATACCATAAATCTGGGAGAAATGTGGCTTTTCTGCCTACCCCCGGGAGTGAACCCAGACCACAAGGAGTTCGTCACCCGGTCACGGCGCAATCCGGTTTAGCCAACTACGCTAGAGAGCCGAGCAATTTGTGTTGTCGACTGAGATGAGAAAAGAACGGGCATACGCCGTACACGGGCTGTACTTGTGAATGTATGCAGTCCCAGTGTGCTGTGCAAAATCCAAATCTGGTTACAGTTTATATATAGATTTTAGTTTTCAAGTATTGAACGTCTTTAACAACAACAACACCAACAACAACAACAACAACAACAACAGCAACAACAACAACAACAAAATTCAAGAAATATAAATAATGTGTCAGCTTTATGGACATAATAACAAAATGCAGATAAAGGATGTTGCGGCAGTTAACCTTCTTTAGCTGAACAAAAAGACAAAAAACAACACTGCGCAACCAGGAAGCAACTCTAAAACGACTACCTTTCGGTGTATACATTTTATGTTAACAGGTGAAACAATAATAACTCATTTAATCGTAATCTAGAATATGTAAAAGGTCTGATGCTTAACATCGCAAGGACATTTATTTGACATTAAACTAATTTACCTTCATGTTAAATCATAGCAGTTCTCATCGGGACATGTGATAGTCGTTAAAATTATTAGAACAATTAATATACGTAGTTGGTCAAAATGTTTTGGACATATGAAAATGAATGGACCCAAAAACCTCGTAATAACTGGGAAGACTAATTTTAGGGAAAAGAGAGCAAAAGGGAGGCAAAGAGATACATACCTGGACGGTCTGGCAAAATGGATGGGGCGAAACAGAAAATATTGAACTGATCCGCGATTATGTTGATCGTATAGGAAGATGGCCAAACATATCAACCTACGTGTACCAGCATGGTACATGATGACGATGATAACCCTTGTGTCTTCTACAATATTATTGTTTGCAGATAGTCAACAATTCAAACTACACATGATGATGTACGAAGGCCGAGTATTCACCTCGATTGGGGATTTCATCAAACAATACCGAGCCAATAGCATTCCCAAGGTGAGAATGACGTTCCCTAGACCAGGTGCTGGCGAGACATCACAGACTGGAACCATGAACATCCGTGGCACCATGTTTCCCGAGGAGCCCCAAACAGGTCCCCGGCAGTTTGACCCACACGGAAAGCGCTACAGGTAAAATACTGCACTGTCTTTCTTCTTATTTGGGGTACCCTATAAAAGTAGCCGGTACCACATGTCTTCTGTTCCGCCGAATGTTGGGCGGCGTATATCAAACCTGACATTCCATATTGTGTCAACGGCTTCGGGCGGAGGAGCACATTGGGAATGATACTAGCCTTATCCTAGGAAGAGGAAATGAAACATGAAAACTTCATACTATGGCAGGGACAGACGAGGACCTAAACCTTGGCTGGCAGCTGGTCTAGGAGGAAAGCTCCGATAGTCCGACAGATAGAACACGGATCTTCTGATATGGCAGCGAAACATGAAAGATACAGGTATTGATGTGGACTCGTGGAAACAAAATGCCATGGACAGTGTTGTGTTGAGGAAGCACACCAGGAGGGGAATGAGAATGAAAGAAGAAATGCCTGCAGAAAAGAAGACAGCTGAGCGTCTGAGAAGAAACAGACTAAAACACAAATCTTGACAACAGTCGTCCTGACATCCCATGCTCTAATTGTGGAAGACTTTTCTTAACGCGGTCGGGTCTTGCTAGTTATGATCGCCATTGCCATGGGCTGTGGATCAACTGCCTCCTCATAGCGCACTTTAACACAATCGTCTGGAAAGACGGAAAGGTGCCAGTCATAATCTTTCTTATAATTATTACTCTTCATCTTCGCATTCGTCTGTCTTCTTTTGCCTGCTGTCTCTGAATCGGGCATAGGCCCTCTACCAACTCAAGTGCAATGACTCCCTTGGCTCTACTCCTATGCAGTCTACTCTGACACATTCTTGAATACTGTAACACAACAATCTTGAACACGGACAAACACCAAACAGCTGATAGTGATTTAATTTATTCTGCAACGATGCCCTCCTGATCAAATACGTGCCAAAGGTAAATTATCTAAAGTCCTAGTTATATTCACAAGCATGTTAGTACTTACATCAGAAATAAAGATTATTCTGTCACTGCATCTCATGATAACATTTCACAACCTAACAAAATGGCATCATAAACTCCACGTCACAGCATTTTTTCCTTCCTCTACTCCGCGTCGTCATGGATTGATTAGCCAGGTTTCTCAAGGCTGGTAAGTTGAAACAGTCACACGCTTGAAACAGGATTAATTTAGTGCACGAATTCAACCTCCAACGAAATCAAGTTACTGGACATTCTTTTGTATTCGGCTGTTCCTTGTCGGATTCAATACCTTGACCTAGTTCATATACATACTGTAAAAAGCACACCATTTTGAGGAACCTCGTCCTCATTGCGATGCCACGGGTAAATGCTTAGTCCATTTCTGATTCACATTACTTGAGTACATATTGATGCTGTCTCTGATGTCGTGTGTCCATCGTCATGACTGACAGTCAGCGATTTCTCTTCTAGAACCATACATTTCAAGACACTACTTTCTACATCACAGCAGCGTTTATATTGCTCGAAATACTAAAGATTCCGAAGCAGGATGTTGTTAATCAACCTGTTAGAACTACGTTAAAAATGAATTTAAAACAGGTCTGGTTAACCAGTAGTGAATTTAATTATTTGAGACCAAGATAAAGAAGTGATGGTTTGGTCATCTGATGAGAATGGCTTTGTACAAACTGCCACAGATAGCCAAACTAAAAAATTGTTATGAATACAGAGCCAATAAATAACCAGAAAAAAAAAAATGGAACTAAGGCATCAAGTACACCCTTGAGGAACTAGAGATTCCCTTACACAACGCATTAAAAAGATCACCCACCCCCCCAACCCCACAGACACTTCGATGAGGTTACAGGAGGACGAAAAGAAGCAGAAAAAAAAATCTTGCAGAATCTGTGTGGTTGTCTGTTGAATTTTTAGAAATTTTCTGTAGCACTCTAGATCAATACCTTGGGTTTTCATTTTCATTTAAATTTAACAACTATATACTTGTTTTTGCGTGTGTGCGCATATATATACATACTTACACAAGCACACACATATCGGCACATCGAGGATCTACTTCACTGCACTGGGTTTTATTCCATATGGCTCGATCTCTATCTGAACGGCTAGCCGCCTACCGAGACCGCGGCGCAGAGCACGATCTCCGTAGCTCCAGCAACGATATCCTAGGGATCCTCGTGAAAACGACACTCGTGAACTCAAGGGCAAATCCGTGGAACGAACCGACCACCTTCAGGGTGCGAGGAACGTCTTGACCACTTCGCAACGGAGCTCCCTATATATATATATATATATATGTGTGTGTATGTGTGTGTGTGTGTGTGTGTGCGTGAGTTATCTCTGTGTTCACTGTCCCTCGACTGGAGTCGTGTGCCCCTATCTCTGTATCTAGGTTGACAGGTCAACACGTGCAGTACCTGCAATGGAGCTTTTACTTTCGCATGTCAGCCATTTCCGGACCCCAGGTGTGGGACCTCAGGTGGGCTGGCCAGAGAATCGCCTATGAGATCAGTCTGCAGGAGGTGGCTGTTCTGTATGCAGGTGCCAACCCAAAAATGTTCTACAGCCATCTTTCAGATAGCGCTTTCGGACTAGGGAACAAGGTTCATGTTGTTACTTTGATCTCTTTTCATGCAAAGTAGATGTACCATCATCATCATCACCACCATCATCATCGCCATTATCAACATTATCATCATTATCATGCTTATCAGCATTATTATCTTTATAATTATCTTCATTATCATCATCATCATCGCCATCATTAACAACATCAAAGTTATCGTAATCTTTATCACCATCATAATAATTGTCGTCGTTGTCATCATAATCACTGTCATCATTATCATCATCATTTTCATCATCATCTTCATCGTCATATCATCATGGCGGTTATAAATTCACCTTCAGGGTTGTGTCGGTATCTGTTGCGTAGAGTATGCGAACGCGATTCGTAATTCAGAGACGCCTGCTTCGATTACAACAGATGGCGATTTGGCAGCAGGACACTTTGGATTGATGTCGACAATGTTTTCACAACGCAAAGGCTAACTGTTCCTCCTTCTATTGTGCCTTCAGCAGAATATGTCACCAAGGGTTCGCATTATACTCTTATATGTTTTTCTATCCTGTACAGCCTTTTTGATGTCATGGATGGCATCCAGTCTTTCACCTTTATCTTCTGTCAACAATTGATTGGACGAATGGACGAAACACCTCAATGCGTCTTTTTTCCATTTCGTGCCTGTTAGGCCAATCTCTTTTCGTTTCTTTTCAGAATGTGTCCAATGAAGCACCATCTTCTCTGTTTCATAACTGTTCGTACTAGCGGAAAGGATAACTGCTGAACGTAAAAATGGACAGTAAAAACGACTAAGAAATTCTTGGGTTGGGTTGCAAGCTGCTCTAAGGTATACGCCAGTAACTTTTTCATCAGGATTTTAGAACAGGTCTGAGTTCTCTACTAAGCTAGGCAATACGACCAACATTTCCTAGACATGAATCTTTGTCTTCCTCTTGTTATTTGTCATCCAGCAGCGGGACTAAGTAAATAAAGTAAATGATCATTTTTATCGACTTCAAGCGTATTGGGCTAGACCTATCTTATAATAGACCAGTCGGCACTCTGTGGGTGACGTGGTCAACATGTCCATGGCCGTCTATACATCCCAGACTACACCTCATCGTCATCATCATCCTCTGTGTTGCTTGTGTTATCAGGCGTCAAATAGGGCTCGCTTTTGATTTCTCCCCTCCGCTCTATTACATGCAACTTTCTAGATTTCTGACATAAAGTTCAGTTCAGCATTTCTTTGCTGCCTGTAATAGTTATTCTTAATGTGTCCCTTGGATTTCCTCTCCCTTTCTCTCTCTCTTCTCTCTCTCTCTCTCTCTCTCTCTCTCTCTCTCTCTCTCTGTCTCTCTCTCTCTCTTTCTCTCTCTTTCTGTCTCTCTCTTTCTCTTTCAGACCTTTTCTTTCCCCCTTCAGTGCCCAGTTTGTAATTCTTTGCTCACTTCTTGTTAGAGTGTGCCCTATATATCTCAACCTTCTTTTTCTTCTTGCAGTCGATAGAGGTGTTTGTCAAGACATTTCCCTGACCTCCTCACTAAATTTATGTTATTACTTTTAAATCGTTTTACGACACACCTTGATGGAAGTCTGCCACCCAAAAGCCAATGCGGATTCCGGAAAGAGTGCGGAGCCATAGATATGGTGGTTTGCGAAAGGCAGTTACAAGAACAGTCAAACAATTGTCCGATGAACCAACCGTGAGCTTGTCACTCTGGTCGTAAAGTTAGTCAACTGATCTAATTTGCTACTGCAGTGACTTTATAACACTAAACCTTACAGCACCTGTTAAGTCAGCATATCGTCTTGTCTCTATCGAGTCCGAAGTGCAGCAGGAAAAGATCGGGGCCTGGCTTCATGACCCAAGTCGGCTCACCTTCCGAGATTGTTTAGAGAAGCATTGGGCTGAAACAATTGTCGAAGAGGGATCTCTACTGATGACCAGTGGACCCCTGCTGTATATGCTCCCGTGTGGACTTCAATATGTCTGAGAAAAATACTGAACGTTAAGTGGCAAGCCATGGTCCCAGAAACTGTCGTGCTGGACAGGGCTGGAATTCCCAATATCAATACCCTTCTGATGCAGTCACAGATTCAATGGGCCGGCCATATTGTTCGAATGCCTATCTTTCCATATCTTTGGTGGTTCTCCAACTTTTGCTGGCACATGTTAGAACTGAAGATTCATAGTTTGGTCTTAAATCTATAAAACTTGAAACTCCATATTTTGTTAGGGCTTTAAAAGACTTTTGTTGCTTTGCCAATTAGTATCATAATTTCCTACGTTGTATCTCCCTGATAGTAAAAATTGCTATCAAAATAGTAAAATAGCAGGTTACTTTTTTTGCGTGTTCTCTCGCATGACATCTACATAATCTGTTGTTGGCATCTTCAATCTATTTCTCATAATTTATTTTAGTCATATTTTTGATGCCGTCGATGACAAATCGTCTATTTTTCTTTGCCAGTCTTTGAAATGTTTACCTAACAGAACAATGACATCTGCGAAATCCAGATCTTCTAGTTGTCTGTTCTCTACCCAGTCAATGCCAGTTCTACTTTTGCAACACTCGTGCATTACTCAATCAATGGCTACTCAAAACAACAAGGAAGATAGAATGCAGAATTGTTTTTGTTGATGTATTTTGTTTAGTTTGCATCGTGTAGCATGACTAAAGCCAATATATGGCAACTTACTGTCGTACTTTAGTTAGCATTTCGTTTTTTGATTATTGTCAGTCGCGAGTAACTTCAGATTTACTTAATTAAACTAACATCTTATAGTATGACTGAAGTAACTGACTACTTGTTTGCTAACTTTGTTATACTATCATCGTCTGGCCTTATACAAGTAAATGACTAGCTATGTGTTGAATTGCTTTGTTTAGCTAACTTGTTGCGGCATGACCAAAGTTATTAGTTACTTACTGACTTACATTGTGTAGATATAACTGTGTAACATAAATAAAATCATACACTAATAGGTTTCTGAATAACTTTATCTTGGTTAACTAGCAGCTTTGTACACAAGTTCATATTTACAAGTTTTGATAATTACATTTCTTTCCGACTCAGGCAAGTGGTTTAGTACCAGGAGTGGATTGTCCTGAGCATGCAACGTTTCTGCCACAGACAATCTATAAGATGGAGCAAAATGGACCAAAGATCCTCCCCAATGCTTTCTGTCTGTTCGAGCACAACACCGGGGTGCCACTTAGGCGTCATAAGTCCAGTGACCGCGATAATGGCAGGTGAATCTTTGGAGTGCTTTAATATTACAGGGTAAAGTCGAGAAGAATGCCTTCATTGCACCGGGTTTATCCCAAATGGTTCGGTCTCTCACTGCAAAACAGCTAGTCGCCTGCCGAGAGCGCCTCGCAGAGCACCAACTCCGTAGCTCCGGCGACGATCCACAGGGATCTCAGTAAAAATTGCACTCGTGAACTGAACGGCGCAGCCATGGATTGAATCCACAATCATCAGAGCGCTAGGCAAACGGCTTGACTACTTTGCTACAGAGATCCCCTATATATTATCTTCTAGGATTTCGTAATGCCTTGGTGCCGGCTTCAATCCCAACTGGGGGCGATTTCACTGCAGACCGTCTTGCGTTGGCTCGACTGTAAACGTAAAATGTGCATAGAAAACCGACAACATCGAAAAAATGCCGGGCCAGATTCTCCAACCCCATGTAGGTGGATAAGTTGACCGCACGAGGACATCACGCAAGCGATAAACACCCGGTGACACAAAGTGCCAGCATGCGGATGAGGAACACCGGTGGAGAGATCCCGGAAACCCCGTTCAGCCGTTAGTCCATATTTATAGTAAGTAAGTAAGGATCCCTTTTCACGCCTAAGGCACATCGGGTATATGGGAAGAGCGTCCCACGTTTTTACAAACCAATCGGCACTGGATGGGTAATGTGTTCAGCATTACCCCGGCCGTATTTACTTTCCCAGGACAGCCATCCTGGTACCCATTTTAGGCTGGGTCGACCTGCGACGCCCCATACGATGATAAAAATCTACGCAGCCTGCAGTGGGCTTCAATCGCGGTACGTTGGATTACAAGTCGGTCTCGCAACGCCTACGCCACGGACGCCGCTGGTCCATATTTATGGCCCGGCTATATTCAAGGCCCCCCCCCCCCGTCCCGCATAAACCGAGTGGGCTTCAAATAAAAAAATTGCATCCCACAAGGGGACGACTTGTCCAACACCATTTGACTGGAACAACGTCCAGCCTATCTCAGCTGTACACGACCTATAACATTAAACAAACACAGGACGTTGTGACTATTAGCCTTCATGGGCAAAACGAAAGCTAGAAACCGATACTTGAACACTTAATGTGTATGCGAAGTGACTATGAAGGCCTTGAAAATATTGTGTAAACACTTTTAGACACCCAGACACAACGCTCAAGGACACATAACTCACACAAACATATCACTCAGAGAGAGAGAGACACACACACACACATTCACAGACAAAACGCGAAAGGACACAACACTCAAACATACGAAGTTCTCATAGACACAACACTTACAAACACACATACAGGCAAAACACTCATACAGGCAAAACACTCATACAGACACATACATAGCACACGCAGACACCAATCACACAACACTCACACAGACACATCACTCACGAACACACATACACAAGCAAAACACTCAAACAGACATAAACACAGCACACGAAGTCATCAATCACACAACACTCACACAGATAAACACTCACAGACATACTCCAAAAAGACATTTTTACATGCACAAGAAGTTTTATCAGTCTTTTCTGTCAGTTCCCACAGAAAGACATTCTCAAAGCTACATAAATTCTGCCTGATGTAAGGAAAGGAAGTGAATTCACGGACAGTTGGTAGACTAATGCAGAATGTTTTATCTAGTCTTTTCTGTCAGTTGAGCATAGCAAGAGAATTCTTAAAAGCTACATAAATTCTGCCTGATGTAAGGAAGTGAATCACGGACAGTTGGTAGACTAATGAAGAATTTTTTGAAGACGCGGATATGTGGTTTTATAGACGGATGATGAGAATACCAGGCTGAGAATAACAGAGTAATGACAATGTCTTGAAAGACATTCATTGGTCATGTGATGATGAGGAGAAAACTGGCGTACATCGTGACAGTAGGACAGATGGAGGGGAGGAGAGGAGGGGAGGAGAGGAGGGGAGGAGAGGAGGGGAGGAGAGGAGGGGAGGAGAGGAGAGGAGGGGAGGAGGGAGGAGAGGAGGAGAGGAGGGGCAGCGGAAGACCGAGATAAAAGATGCTGGTCAGTGTGACATCATTGCGTGCAGGATCAACTGTGTCAATGTTGACTGAAAGTACACGAAACACAGGGCTGTGGATAGACATGACTTCCAACACCGTATGGCGGGGACGTTAAGACGAGGACGCTCCTGTAGACACAACACTCATAGAAACAACACAACACAATACACACACAGAAACAGACAGACTGAACAAACGATCGAACGAACTAACTTTATTTTTGAAGGGTCAATAATTTAACACGCAGGACCGTCTTACATTCGGCCCTCCCAAACACCCATCTTTCACACAGAGGTTTTAGTTTTTTTAATAAAGCATGTTAAGTTCATATAATGATATGCATGTGACAGACAGACGAACAGACAGAAAGGTAGACAGACTATAGACAGATAGACAGACATATAGATGGATAGATATATGAGACAGACAAACAGACAGACAAACAGATAGATAGATAGATAGATAGATAGATAGATAGATAGATAGATAGATAGATAGATAGATAGATAGATAGATAGATAGATAGATAGATAGATAGATAGATAGATAGATAGATAGATAGATAGATAGATAGATAGATAGATAGATAGATAGATAGATAGATAGATAGATGATAGATACTGGATAGATAGATAGACAGGACAGACAGACAGACAGACAGACAGACAGACAGACAGACAGACAGACAGACAGACAGACAGACAGACATACAGACAGACAGACAGACAGACAGATAGATAGATAGATAGATAGATAGATAGATAGATAGATAGATAGATAGATAGATAGATAGATAGATAGATAGATAGATAGATAGATAGATAGATAGATAGATAGATAGATAGATAGATAGATAGATAGATAGATAGATAGATAGATAGATAGATAGATAGATAGATAGATAGATAGATAGATAGATAGATAGATAGATAGATAGATAGATAGATAGATAGATAGATAGATAGATAGATAGACAGACAGACAGACAGTTAGATAGACCTACTGAATGCATTATGTCGCTTAACAGACCTCAAAAATGTGTATCATGGCACGAACAAAATACGTTTTCACACGAAATTAATACATTTTTTTAGAAATCAAGGAAGTGGAGAAACATGATCGCTCTCAATAGCTGGGACGGCGTGTGGTTGTGTTGATGATGATGATGATGGAATTATTCTTAACTAAAGTATAAAGTCCCCTCGTATTTTCCTACTACAGAAACTATGGTGGTCTTGTGGACAGAGTTTTGATTCTACGCACCATTATCGTAGAATACAACTATGACTACATCTTTGATCTGATCTTCCATCAGAACGGGGCAACAGAGATCAAGACGTACGCTACTGGCTACATATTGGCTCAAAAGTTTCACTCAGGAGAGACTCCGTTTGGCTTCAGGTAATGTTCTGAGAGACTCCATTTGGCTTCAGGTAATGTTCTGAGAGACTCCATTTGGCTTCAGGTAATGTTCTGAGAGACTCCATTTGGCTTCAGGTAATGTTCTGAGAGACTCCATTTGGCTTCAGGTAATGTTCTGAGAGACTCCATTTGGCTTCAGGTAATGTTCTGAGAGACTCCATTTGGCTTCAGGTAATGTTTTGAGAGACTCCGTTTGGCTTCAGGTAATGTTCTGAGAGACTCCATTTGGCTTCAGGTAATGTTCTAAGAGACTCCATTTGACTTCAGGTAATGTTCTAAGAGACTCCATTTGGCTTCAGGTAATGTTCTGAGAGACTCCATTTGGCTTCAGGTAATGTTCTAAGAGACTCCATTTGACTTCAGGTAATGTTCTGAGAGACTCTATTTGGCTTCAGGTAATGTTGTGAGTGACTCCGTTTGGCTTCACGTAATGTTGTGAGTGACTCCGTTTGGCTTCATGTAATGTTCTGAGAGACTCTATTTGCTTTAGGTAATGTTGTGAGTGACTCCGTTTGGCTTCACGTAATGTTGTGAGTGACTCCGTTTGGCTTCATGTAATTTTCTGAGAGACTCCATTTGGCTTCACGTAATGTTGTGATAGACTCCGTTTGGTTTCAGGTAATGTTCTGAGAGACTCTATTTGCTTCAGGTAATGTTGTGAGTGACTCCGTTTGGCTTCAGGTAATGTTCTGATGTACCATCCTTTGGCTTCGGGTAATTTTCTGAGACAGCCGGACTATTTAAAAGAAAATAACTGTGGCTTCCAGGTTGATCTGACCTGAAATCGATACCAGGTAAGGTCCTGAGAAATAGAGGCGGCTGGCGAGATGTTGACTACTTCGCTCACTGGGTGCAGATTAGCCTATATAAAATAGGTCTAGCCCTATATTGCCAATAAATGTATTAGGCATTGTTTTGAAAGACCTTGTTTGGCTTCAGGTAATGTTCTGAAAAACTTTATTTGGTTTCATACGTGCATGCAGACTTGATAAATGTGTGCGAGGTGAGGAGTGGGTCAAAGTTTTAGACTTGTGCATGGTTCTTATAATTTTGGGTCTTCAGTGCAGGTACTGGCCAGTTGCAGAATCAGAAGTTAAACAAATAATTGATGACAATTCCCGCCCAGTGATGTGATTATCTATACCGATTGCTCTGTTTTGAGGGCAGACGAAGTGCACGGGTTTCATAGAAAAAGCGAAAGAATCGCGATGAGTGCAACAAAGACTGGCGTATGATATCACAACGTCTAGTTTGAGAATAAAGGTGGAGGCAGTTACTGCTGTCTTCCGCTGTCTAAAGAATCAGCTGTACACACATGCTGTGATTGTCACTGACTCACTGATCATGCTAAGAAAAGGTGAAAACAGGTTTGCTTCGGGCAGAGTGGCAAGCATCACTTCAGAGGTTCCATGTAGTCGGCGCCTTTAAGATATTCTCTCTAGGTGATGCCGGTGTGTTGGAAAATGAGCAAGTAGATAGATTGGCCGTTTTTGCGCCACTTGGTGGTGAATTAATGTATGAGAAGCTAGATTTTGTAAGGGCTCCCGGGGAGCGAGTGAACAGTGCGGAAGCGCAAATAGATCAATACGGTCTGAGGCGAATGGCGCTTCGAGGAGTTACCAAGGGATCTGACTGACACTCAACACACATGTGAAGGGCCAGACGGAAATACAATCAGTTACTGGTGCCATCGGAATTGGAACGCTTCGTTTGCTGCTGAAGATAGGGACGGAGAGCTTATGGGAGTGTCCCGAGTGCTTTGATGTTGATTCCTAATTCAACATTCAGTTTCATATAATGCTCTGTTGGCTTTAGGTAATGTTCACGTTGACCTTATTTAGCTTCACGTAATGTTCTGGTGAGCTCCACTTGGCGTAAACTAATGTTCTGGTGAACTTCACTTGGCGTAAACTAATGTTCTGGTGAACTCCACTTGGCGTAAACTAATGTTCTGGTGAACTCCACTTGGCGTAAACTAATGTTCTGGTGAACTCCACTTGGCGTAAACTAATGTTCTGGTAAACTCCACTTGGCGTAAACTAATGTTCTGGTGAACTCCACTTGGCGTAAACTAATGTTCTGGTGAACTCCACTTGGCGTAAACTAATGTTCTGGTGAACTCCACTTGGCGTAAACTAATGTTCTGGTGAACTCCACTTGGCGTAAACTAATGTTCTGGTAAACTCCACTTGGCGTAAACTAATGTTCTGGTGAACTCCACTTGGCGTAAACTAATGTTCTGGTGAACTCCACTTGGCGTAAACTAATGTTCTGAGAGATCCTGTTTCGGTTAAGGCAATATTCCTAAAGAGACCCCCTTAGGTTTCAACAAAGAAGATGGCACATAATGCCGAAACCCTTCTTAGCTCCATGTAATGTTCCGAGAGAGCTGATTTATTTTCATTTAATGTTCTCGGAGATTTCAGCTAATATTGTTAGAAAACTATATTTGGTTTCATGTAGTGTTTGGATCTACTATATTTGGTTTAAGATTATGTAATGTTTCATACGACTAAATTCTTATATATTAGTTATATTCTTATAGTGAGAAAAAAATAAATAAATACCAGAGTACACACTAGACAATACGCATGCTGAAAGCAACCAACATTCTGGGATTCAAACTGCCGCCAAGAAAATATACTATCATCGAGAGTAAATGTATATCAGTAATCTTGAAGTATTCCCACAAGTGGTCCATGTGCTATTCATTAGAAGCCAAGGCATTCTGATGTTGACTGTGTCAATAGCAAGCTGACTGAAAGTCCATCAATCTTTGTACACCCAGCCAGACCTTCTGCTCAGTCCTTGCTAAACCCAATTTTGAAAATTAATGTTATCGCCTTTTATGGATATGGAATTCGGGCCATACCAGGTTAGTTTCATTTTAATTCAGAAAAGTCCAATATTCTAGGGGTGTCATGGGCTGGGTTAATCGGTGTCTCTGGAGTGAACAAGGCTGACCAGGATCAGTTTCATTTTCGTGCCAAGGTATGCAGTTGTTCTCCTGGTATTGTCCCACCAAATTTACTTTAAACCATAACACCCCTGTATATAATACTGGACTTTTCCGAAACTCCCAAATTTCGCTTGTATGGAGTGAATTAAAATTAAAATACCCACATCAGCTGGGGGATCCGGCTCACGGTATTGTTTTATGTCTCCTTTTGAAATACCGCTTATGTTTTGGCATGCGTATATTGTTCAAAGAAGAATAACTGTAATAAAAGTACAATGAATATATAAGTAGCAGGGCGCCTGAATACTAGAGCTTTGGCACATTGAGCCACACTCATCCCCCCCCCCCCCCCAAGATAATTTTTTAGGTAATGGTGGTTGCGGGGTTATCCGCTAGACAGTTTAGAATGGGCTAAGCGTATAGAACTAATTCCGCAACGTTCGTGTTTTCATTAAAAAATTGCATCTCTATCGTCTGTTTAGCTTTTCTTGTTTTCTTTTCATATCCATTAGGATTCACGAAAACATCGTTGGTTCCATTCATCATCATTTGTTAAACTATAAAATTGACCTGGACATTCAAGGTCAATCTAACCGTTACGCCACCTTGAATTTCCTTACTGATGAGCGACCTTGGCCCTGGTACAAAAACGGAGAGCAATCCTTTCATCAGATATCATTTCAACATCAAGTTAAGCGATCTGAGCAGGAAGCAGTGCTTCGATACAACTTCTCCACACCAAAATACCACATTGTGTACAATGAAAAAGAGAGAAACAAGTTTGGTAATCACAGGGCTTACAGGTATGAATTTTGCAGTATGTAGACACATCATATAAATGATGCCAAGACCTTTATTTAATACCTGACTTAACTGCATTCACTCTGTTATTGAGCGGCGTCCGTGGCTTTGGCGTTGCGAGTCCGACTCGTAATTCCAACGTATCGCGATCGAAACCCACTTCTGGCTGCGTGGATTTTTATCATAGTATGGGGCGTCGCAGGTCGACCCAGCCTAAAATTGGTACCAGGATGGCTGTCCTGGGGAAGTAAAGACGGTCGGCGTAATGCTGACCACATTCCCACCCAGAGCCGATTGGGGGTCTGTAAAAATATGGGGCGCTCTTCCCATATGCCCGATACGCCTAAGACATGAAAAGGGATCTTTACTTTTACTTAATTTTTACCCTGTTATCAATCCTGGTTTGCAAAACGTGAAAAAAAAAAAAGTAAAGGGCCCTTTTCCATGCCTTTAGGCGTATAGGGCATATAGGGCTAGACCAATATTTATAGACCAATGGCACAAGATGGGTGATGTGGTCAGCATTACGCCCGCCGCCTTTACTTCCCGTGACTGCCCCCGGTACCCACTCAAGGCTAGGTCTACCTGGGAGCCAAGGTCATTTAAAAAAAAAAAAACTAGTCTGGTTACCCCAGGGAGCGAACCCACGACCTTAAAATCCGCGGCGAGAGTCTAACCGTTCTGACACGGCGACTCCTGGTTTGCAGAACACCGATTACTAAACACTTTTTTTCTTATTTTTAATTGTTTCTAAAATAGTTATATCTAAAATAATGTCGAAAGTTAGATGAAAATATCACATTGGGCCATACCTCATGTAACACCCATACACAGTAATCTAGTCTATAAACTTATAACCTAGACATGGCAGCAAGAAATGACATGTACAAATGTTACGTCGCTACTGTTCACCGTTTGGTGGGTCTTCTTGTGAAATACAAACAGGCAAGCATTTTCTGTTTCACAGTAAAGATGGTTATTAATTATGTTCATCATGTTATTACTAACGTATGGTAATATATGGCTTTATACAATATGTTTAGTCTCTTGTTGATGAACAATGTTCAGCGACCCGTCGCCTTTGCCAGTCCCACGTAGAGGTGCCAATTTGAGAAGCACTTGTCAGTCAAATCCAAGCCTGTGACTCAGAGTGCTTGTCGGTGCATCCTAATTATTTTGACTGCAGACTGACTGACTGACTTTCTACCCCACTAGGACATCACACAAGCGATAAACACCCGATGACACAAAGTGTCACCATGTGGATGAGGATCACCGTGAAGAGGTCCCAGAAACCGCGTTCAGCTTTAAGGCCATATTTTTGGCCAGGCTATATTGCGGCCCCTCGCAATAGCCAGAGTAGAGCCTCAAAATAACGAATAATTCCATCCTAAAAAGAACGGGAGATTTGACTGCAGATGTAAGTGAAACAGAAAACTGCAGTCGTACTAACGTTAAAAGTTGACACTCGAAAATAACACAGTCGACCTAGAATGCTATTTGCAGTTCGAATGTGTGTAAAAGTTTACGTCGCTACCGTTAACCGTTTGGGAGAAGTTTTTTTTTTTTTCCAGACAAAAAGACACGTGTATTTTTTGTTTTGTTTTATAATATATACACAAATCTGTGCACCAAGTATGAAGACATGAACACAGGGGAACTAACTGTAACTTTCATCTTGTTATGTTATTTTCAACAATTCCTCCCCCAAATTTAGTTTTCTTGCTGTTGTATTTTAACATGTTGTCATTCCCAATTTCATCTTCACCATCATCAGCAGTCATCACCAATCAACATGTCATCATCATTTGTATCATCACCATCATCAAAATCCGTCCATCAGTCAGTCATCATCATCAATAATAATCTCATCATCGTCATACTTATTATCGTTCAGCGGTTATTACCACGATCATCATTTTCAAACATCATCAATCTGATCAACAGTCACTATCATCATTAATCATTATCCTCAATGATGACCATCATCATCAATCGACATAATCATCAATTCATCACCATTATTCGTCGCCAATCATTATCAGTCATCCTCATCATTACTTGAGGCTACCTTATAGTCTTTATTAATAAAAAACATGGACTCTCTGATGGAATCATTTTTAATCATTATCAATATCATTAGAAACTATCAGTCATCATCGTTATCAGTATCATTAATCATCAATCATCATTACAAATGCCCATCATTATCATCAATGATCATCATCAACATCACCATCAGTCACAATCATTAACATCAATCGTGTTCCTCACCAACAGTCTTCAGTCATCATCATCAATCAATCATCATCATATCATCAGTCGTATTTATCATCAAGAGTTATCCATCATCAATCATTGTTATAATCAATCGTCACCAAGCAGGATGTTATCATCATTTTCAATTTTATCTTCCTAAAAAATCATCTCATCTTCATGATAATTTTGACCATCTTTCTCAAACATCATCATTATTATCATCAGTCATCATCAGTATCAAGTGAACAATTGTGTTTCTCTTGCAATCTCCAATAAAATCTACTGATTCTTGTGCTGACAACTGTCAATGCCATTCAAAAACAAATTATGTCGAATATTTTCACTCTCGCCTCCTACGTATTTTTTCCATAAATATTTCCAGTTTTAACAGATTCTAAAACTTCACAACAGTTACAACTACTTCACCTATTTAATTGATGAAGCAACTGTTTCTTGACTGAACGTTTCCAGAATATCCTAAAACTTCACAACAATTACAACTACTGTACCTATTTCACTGAGGAAGCAATTGTTTCTTGACTGAACGTTTCCAGAATCGCCACAACTGGGTTCACCAAGCAAATTTTGCCAGACGATTCGCCAGTTCTCAACAGCAGACGATGGAGCCAGTACCAAATGTCTGTGAGCAGACGTAAAGACAAAGAGGAGTCCAGCAGTTCTATCTTCTCCATGTTTGACGGAGAAAACCCAGTCGTAGACATAGATCGTTATCTGCAAGACAATGAGGACATCATTGACCAGGTAATTCGAGCTCGTTTCAGCGTATCGTGGTTCGTTTAACTTCTCTATATAGCTAAAAGAAAGATGTTTATCGGACGTCACTAAATAATTCAGAATCGATTAAATGAACTGTGACTTAAAAGCTAAAAGGAAAGGGAAAGCAGAAGAACTTGCACAACACAAATTGACGTTTCGGCCGGGGCTTTTCTCCTCATGAACTAAACTACACAACATAAACAAAGAGGAGAGTACTCCAACCAACAAGGGGTCGAGTGAAAAACTATTTTATAAAATGAAAAAAATTAAAAAGGGTTGGGGGGGGGGGCGTCAAGGCAAATGTGGTATAGATTCAGGAGGGCACGATAAATAGTTGAAAAGTAATAGTGATAATATATAACATAGTCATCGAAATACAACTTGATCCATAATAAAGTGATAAAAGACAGAATAACAAAAAAATTAATGTGAAATAATATAAATTAAAGTAAACATAAACAATAATGAAGTTAAATTTAAAAAAAATGTGACATAGTAAAATTTTTTGGATGAGGCAATGCTTGAAATTGATGCCTCCAGGACTTAGAACACCCAGACTACGAATGAGGCGATTTTCCAAAGTAAGCCGCGTGGTATCATCACGAGTGCAAGATTTTAAAGTTGTGACAGATATATGTTATTATTTTTGCCTCTGTGGTCAGAGCTGTAAAAATGGGGAAGCACTGGTTTAAGTGTTTTTTTTTTTTTTGGATTGTTTGTTGTTGTTGAATATCGGAGAGATGTTCGTGTACCAGTTAGCCAGCCTTTTGCCAGCCCCACCAATGTGTCCCTTGTTGCATTTTGTGTGTGCAGATTATACATAAATTACGTCTCTGGATTCACAAGTAAAAGGTTCCTTATTTTGGAAAGAACCACCAGGGAAAGCGACCGATAAGGTCTGGACAACGAATGGATATAATCTGCAAAAGATGCAAAAAGGCCTATATTGGTGAGACTGGCAGAAAGCTAGCTGGTCGGTTCGTGAACATCTCTCCGATATTGAAAAAACAAACAAACACACAGACACTTAAACTGACCCCTCTCCATTTTAACAACTCTGTCCACATACGCGAAGATGATATATCTGTCACCGCTATAAAATCTTGCTCTGGGGATCATACCTCGCGGCTCACTTTGTAATAGTCAGTTATCTTTTTTACTTTGCAGTTCACCAAAAAAGTCATATATTCACTTTGTCGTCGTACATTATTTTGCAGGATCTTGTTTTATGGGTCACTGTTGGATTTCATCATTTACCTCACACTGAAGACATCCCTAACACACCAACCCCCGGAACATCAGCAACCATCTATCTTCTACCATACAACTACTTTCCAGAGTGTCCGTCCGTTGGGTCACGTGATGCAGTAAGACTCGATCTGAGGAAATCCAAGATTGTTGTCCAGGACTACGGAATATCAGACAAATTTCGTTGCTCACCATCAGCATTTAATTACTCTGATTTGTCTACACAGAAATCAGATTTGTTTCCATAATCTGACTGTTATGAAGTGTTATCACAGTCGATGTCTTTGCACACTGGGCATTCCCATATGTACTCAGTCCTCTGATGCAGCAGCCACTCCAAAGTACCTCTGCTGAATGTTCCAATGAGAAGTTGTCTGTAGTATCTTGTGTCTTTACATCGAAGTAGGCATAAGCGCTCTTCACCAAGCTTAACACCTCGGTCAGTCAGCCATTATGCCCCAACCTAGTTCATACAGCGTTGTTGACATCAGCTTTGTCAATACCTAATCCCTTTTGTATTTGATCGTCAGCTCTTTCATTAACAGTCACTCTTGTGTGCCCAGGTGTGTAGATCCAGATGATGGAGGTTAACTGCGACTTTCGAATGCTTTCTACATGTAGCGATTTTCTGCAGTATATTTTCTAAATTTGATTATCCATGTCATATTTTCAGTTTGTCAATAAACCAGGTGCAATCTCTGCAACTAAAGGTTGGCTGCATATAAAGTCTCTACCTCTCATCTCGGTTGTACTCTGTCTGAGACATTTTTTGTGTGTGCTGTTCCTATGTTACCTTTCTAATTGTACACTGTCTCCCTCTTACTAGAGAGCCGCCGTCGTGTAGCGGCTAAAGGCTCGCCTGCGGATCCGAAGGTCGTGGGTTCAAATCCAACCGGAGCATGATTTTTTTTCTTCTAAAAAGTAACCTTGGCTCTCGGGTCAATTCAACCTTAAATGCGTACCAGGCAAAGTCCTAGGAAGTAAAGAAGGCCGGCGTGATGTTGATAACATTCTGCACAGAGTGCCGATTGCACTGTTAAATATGGTTCTAGCATTATATGTACAGTACACTTGGCGTCATGAAAAATGGTAATGTACTTAACGTTTTCTATCCCCCGAAATTACGTTTTGAAAACAGTTTTATGTCTTGTACTTTCAGATATTATGTCACACGTTCAGTGAAAACCCGGCGTGATGCTGACCACATCACCCATCTTGTGCCGATTGGTCTATAAAACTATAGGTTTAGCCCTATATGCCCTAAACGCCTTAAGGCGTGGAAAAGGGTCCTTTAGCTTACTTTTTTTTTATTCAGTGAAAATTAACACATCGTTAATTCTTCAACAAGTTGGCTTGCCAGTTAACATCGCGTGTACCCTATGTTTGCTAAATCGCACACAGCACTGTGAAGGGATTTCCAGCTGACTCAGTCATTGCGAAATACTCCTAGAATCGAATATTACTTATAAATAATTTATGAAATTAATAAAATATTTATGAATATATTTGTTTCACAAGTGACTTTATTTTTAGGAGACTCTCGTCGTTGACATGGAGCTGCGGAGTTCGTGCTTTGTGTAATGGCTCTCAGCCAGCAGCTCTTATAAGATAGCGCATATCAGACGAAATATATAAAACAGGGCAGTAACATCGATCTTCGCCTCTTTAACCATCTCCTAATAAAGAATAATAATTAATCTGAAGACGATTTGTTCAATCCAGTTTCCACCGCTGTTCTGAATAATTGTCATTAAAGTGCATTTCAAAGGTCGTGCCTTCACACTTTATCAAACATCTCGAAGACTCGTGTATGAAGGACCACGAACTTTTATTGTTAAATGTGGCCTTAGATTTCCTTGGTCTGAAAGCGGCGAATCTCTTTGATCTTCCTGTAACTAATAATTGGTTTACCCCTAAAATAAAATTAAATACACCGTAATTTACACACGGGTGGATATTGTTTGAAAATTAGTTCACATATGCAGCTATGCGTGTTAAAAATTTCGATAGCCTATACTGCATACAATGAAAAATCCACAACTTGCGGGACACATGCTAGAGATGGCCATCTGAGAGTAAAGAGCCTATCTTCTTCTTCTTTGCGTTCACCAGCTGTAAACTCTGGTGGAAAGTTCGGGTTGCTCGTCCACTACTGAACTGCAGTCCTGCTCCAGAACCTGAGTGTTGCGTGTGCATCAGTTTTACATATCTCATTCTCTTGAATACAGATTGCTGGTTCCTTGCCTCTCCGGCAGATGCACTCCGACTTCAAAGGAGGCTCCCCAATTAGTCGACTCTTACGACATGCTTTTGGGGAGGCAGTGGGTCTATTCTTTTTTTCCCCACAATGGGGCCCCGGAACCCACGCGGGGAAAAAGCGCCTATGAAATGCGTGCAATTTGATGTTTTGAAAAGTTCCCGTTAGCCCGTGTGCTGTAAACATGCTGATTTTGCTATAAATCGCCCCCCCAATCCCCCTCCCCTGACCTCCCCCTCCCGCCCCCTTACATACCAGAAATGAGGGAAACTGAAAACTAGAAGTTTGTTAACCCCTAAAGATATTTCTCACAAGGACATGATAATCAACAGGTTGCATGCCAAGTTTGAACAAGTTACACCAAACTGTGATTGAGTTACATATTTTAAAAAAAAAATATTGGCACGACCTCTGAAATAAACTTTATCATTTTGTGAGTCTTTGCCACTCGTTAACTTTCCTACATATAGTCGTTGCTTATATTTAGCTCCGATTTGTACAGTTTCACCTATCTTTAATTCTCTCAGATTTGGACAAAAATACGGAATTTTGCTTTTAGATTACAGTGCGAATAGACTGTTAGCGCGTGTTGCCTTCCTGGTCAGCTGTCTTTTTAGAGGAACCCGTTTTTTTCTTTTTTGGTTTACTGTTTGCTTTTGCATTTGTTTCACAGCTTGTCTACTTATCGCTCCATGTTTAAATTAAAATTAACGAGAAAAAGAAGTAGTAGTAGTTAAAGAAGAAGTAGTAGTAGCAGCAGCAGTAGTAGTAGTTGTAGTAGTAGCATCATTAATAGTAGTAGTAGTGGTGAGAATAAACGTAGTACCAGCAACAGTGGTGGCAGTTGTTGTGTTTATAGTGGTGGCAGTAGTAGCATAAAGTAGTTGTAGTTGTGGTATTAGTAGCAGCAGAAGCAGCAGTAGTGATAGTAGTGTTTTTGGTAGTAGGAGTACAACATAAAGTACAGAGACCACATATTCGTGATTTCAGTACAAATGGAATGTTATAAAGGACAATGCAGAATATCTTCCTGCATTCGTGTTTCTTTCTCTGTACATTTACATACACATACAGTAGAAACTCGCTTAACGAGCACTTCGTATAACGAGTAATTCGCATAACGATCAAAACAAATTGTAAAAAAATGACTTGCTTAACGAGCGACGTTTCGCATAACGAGTGGCGAGGAGAAGGGAAGTCCCGAATTGTGCGCCTGTTACATCAGTCTGTGTTTAGCACTCGTTCCAGTAGCATCGTAGTGTAACTTGTGATCACAATTTTTCTCAAACTTGTGTTATATTGTGATATATGTACATGAATCTTTAAGGCCTACAAGATGACCTCTCTGGAGAATTAAAGTTCATCAAGATCCAATTTCTGCCTTCCAACACCACTCCGTTACTCCAGCTCATGGACAAGCAAGTTATTTCTAACTTTAAGAAGCTCTACACTAAAGCACTCTTCGAGCATTGTTTTCATGTGACTGAAGGGACCAACCTCACTCTCAAAGAGTTTTAGAGAAAAATCACGTCCACATCGCTACCTGCCTCAAGATGATCGACAAGGCGGGAGAAGGGGTTACAAAGAGAATCCTAACTTCTGCTTGGAAGAAGCTTTGGCCGGAGAGTGTTGTCTATTTTGTGACTTTGAGGGGTTCGAGACAGTGAAACCTGTAGTCAACGAGATTGGGTCTTTGGTCACTATCATGGGATTGTAGGTGGATAACAGTGATATCAAAGAGCTTGTGGAAGAGCACAGCCAGGAGCTGCATTTTGGAGGAAATGTTGTCAGAGGAGGAGGTAACAGAAAAGCAACAATTTTCTGGCGAAATAAGAGAAATGCTAAAAGCATGGCAAAATGTTGCATCTTACATCGAGAAGCATCGCCCTAATAAGGAAGTGGCTATGCGCGTTGCAAATTTATTTAATGATAATGCTGTGTCGCAGTTTGGCCAAATTTGGAAGCGTCGGCAAAAACAAATCTCTGGACATCTTTCTAGTAAAAAAAAAACGTAATTAGCAATGTATCATAATAATTTTGACTTTTTTCTGCAAATCGAATTTGCATTCCATGTGGGTTCGTTACGCTTTTGAAGAAAAGATGAAGGTGATCCACTTTCCTTAACAATATGTATATCATTTTCTTTGAATAAACGTTATACATAGCATTTTGTGAGTATATTTTTCGACATGGAACGCACTATCGTATTTTACATTAATTTATATGAGAATTTTTTTTTCGCATAACGAGTGTTTCGCTTAACGAGTATGATTCTGGAGCGAATTATGCTCGTTAAGCTAGGTTCCACTGTTTGTGAATCTTTAGACACAGCACACGGCATCAAAGGCTAAATACTACTTGTTCAATCAGCTAAACACACAGAACAACTTGCAACAAAAGACATACGCGCGCACGTTCACACGCACAACTCTCACACACACACATATATACATATATGTATATATATATATATATATATATATATATATATGTATGTATGTGAGTGTGTGTGTGTGTGTGTGTGTGTGTGTGTGTGTGACAGTCCCATGGCGGCTGTTATATAAATTTTGATTAGGCTTAAAGCGAACCAAATACGTGGCAAACTTGGGGTTAGAAAGTTATAAAAGAGAGGGGAGCGGCAATTCGCTCTCGTAGGCGTATGTTGTTCGGGCAATGTGGGTTGTGTGTGTGTAGGCGAAGGTAATTTTCCGTCTGTTGTAGGGTATTTTCGAATTTTAATTAATATTATTTGTGAAGAACTTAGCTTATGTTCATTAAAATAAACAGATGTTGAATGTGATAATTATATTTCCAGTTGTCTTGATTTAGATTTGGACTTGTGGTTAGTCTGGCTAGTTTACTGTTACTGCTGTCTAGACTGTATACAAAATATGTCCTATCTGGGTAAGGCACTATAGCCTTACTCCCGCCTTAACGAACGTTTTCTCTCTTTTTTTTTCTTGTTACTGAGGCAGCAAAAGGTTCGATTTT